AGCCCGTGAGTCAGCGCGAATGCACATATTCAGTGACGCGTCTGAATCAGCTTACGAGGCTGCAGCCTACTTGAGCGACAGCATAAATGGTAATGTTTTATGTAACCTCGTTATGGCTAAATTTCGTGTGGCTCCACTTAAGGCAGTTACCATACCTAGACTAGAGTTTGCGGCTGGCGTTGTACCGACTATGTTATGTGATACTATAAGCCGGGGGTTGGATATTTCAAATGGACCTTTATTCCCCTGACGTGATTCAACGATTGTGCTTTGTTACATAAACAACAGATCAGCTCGCTATAGCACATTTATAGCCAACCAATTGGCCATAATACATGAAAGCTCAACACCTCAGTAATGGTATCACGTAAAGAGAACAATTAATCCTGTAGACCACGGAACTCGCGGTCTGAAGGCGACCGACCAGAAATGGGAAAGTTAGCTCCGGGGGCCGCCATTCCTGAGAAGCTTAGAAGAGATTCCTCCACTTAAATTAGTCTCGACTGAAGAAATCAAGCGGCAGATTGAGTTTAAGCGCACAGTGACTATCAATCACACAACTGTCGCGATGATTGTCAATTTAGTTTCTTATCATTCGCAATGATATAGACTGTTACGAGCAACAGCTTAGTTGAGGCGCTTTACAAAATATATCAACGTGATGTTTGGAAAGAAAGGTATGTTGTCACAACGATTGGGTAAACTTTCGACAGAAGAGATTGAGCTTGCATGCGACAATGTTGTGCGTCTAGTTCAAACAGACGATCAGGTTTCGTTGATGGACCCTAAGGGGCACGTGCACAGGGGTAGTCCCCAGCGTGAATTGTGTCCAATTTTTGTAAATGTAATGCTTCGAGATGGTGGTAGACTGCAATACGCGTAGTTGCCACATGACGCAGTACATCCAGCTATCCTGCCCCAAGACACCATGTAACCGAACTTCTTATACGTCACTTTCATGAGAAGGAAGATCGTTCAGGGCCCAAGCGCGTGTTATCTGAAATTAGGAGGCGGCTCTGGATAAAAAGATTGGTGCAGCAGTAAAAAGAGTTCTGAGCAAATGCACTCACTGTCGTAGGCAACTAGGTAGGCCAGGATATCAGTTATTGGCTCCACTGCCTATAAATAGAACGAGTAGCTAATTGCCACCATTCCACTCGGTTGGTCTAGACTGTTTCGGACCATTTTATATTAAGCGGGGCCGGTCCGTGGAGAAAAGGTACGGATGTTCTTCACCGGCATGACCATGAGAGCAGTACATCTAGAGGTAGCGCACTCATACTCAACGGAATTATTCATCATTGCCCAGAACCAAAACACATATTCAGTGATAATGGATCGAAATTTTTCGGAGCAACTGATCAACTACGAGCTTGTTTGCGATCTCGGTCACAGGATAAAATACATAATCATCTCCTTCAAAACGCCGTGCAGTGGCACTTCAGTCCTCCTAACGCCAGACATAAAGGCCGAGTTTGAGAAGGGCTGATTAAGATAATAAAGACAATACTGACGGCACTCCTCAGTGCAAAACAGGTGACCGACGAAGTGTTACTGACGGCCCTGGTAGAGGCCAAACGGATAATGAATAATAGACCGCTCGTTCGGCAACCAGTCAATCCGCAAGCTTCCAAGGTACTCACGCCACAGATGTTGCTGACTATAAAGCGATACAATTCGAGTTCTGAGGTGTAAACCACGCTGGACCGTTATAACTGTAGATGGCGAGAAGTGCAGGATATTGCAAATTGCTTCTGGAAGCGATGGACGAGGGGATACTTGCCATTACTTCAAATCAGATCCAAGTGGTATACAAGACAGAGGGACTTTAAACCGGGAGATTTAGTGATGGTGGTATAGAAAAGCAAACTGAGGAATGAGTAGCCTTTGGATCTTATACAACAAACCAGAAAAAGCGAAGATGGAGTGGTGAGAAGCGTAGGTAAAAACCCCTAGTGGATCGTTCAGAAGAGACGTCAGAAATATCTGCCATTTAGAAGGGGTTCTTGACAATGTTCTTGGTGGTGAGCATGTAATTGGTTGACTCCAGGAAATGATACGTCTATTTGCTTATCGTATTTGCGATTCTCCTCTTTTCCCGCTTAATGAGAATAACTGTTCAGTTCCTCATCACTGGCGCTTATCATGGAACCTTCGGTCTCTTTTTTTCACTCTTCACATTCATCAAATGTCCAGTGTTCAGTCAAGTGTCCAGGCCTTTGAAAAAGCTCTGGACGCCAGATGGTTGGAGCTTTTCCCTGACATAGAATGTTAGATAGAAGGAGAAACGGATCAATCGCAGAGGTGGACGCACACTCGAGGGCATACCACCGAAGGAATTCTGGACGTTTGATTGGTCTTTGGCCACGTTCAGTCCTGTGCAACCTGACCTGACCTGACTTGACCTGACGAGCGCCGGCGTTGAATTTATGCGCTACTTATATTTTACTGCGCCTCGGCCCGGTTTTTTCCAAGTTTCGTTACGGGCCTATTTGAGGGCTGAGTGACTAAATATTGTGAAAGTCGATGCATGTCATTTTTATATTTTAAATCGTTGGGTCATACGATATAGTACCTCAGTCAACTGGATAAACCTGACAGTTACCGATGTATATTTAACCCGCTGATGCCCCAACCGAGAAAGGCTGTGAACGATAGCTGTCTCATGTACTCATCCAGAGATCAGGATTATTCACAGACCCATTCCTATTACGGTGACACCGCTTGGCGTCTCTCCCTTTGAATTAGTTGCTCCACGCATGCCTGTCCGTCCTAAAAGTGACGCCGCCGAGGCGGCACCATCTACTCATTGATTTCATGGAAGCATCAACCGCGAGGATACCGAGCGTCTCCTAAGACACCATGGGCTAAATGGAACATTTCTCATCCGATATAGTACATCGACACATAAATATGTTCTGAGTGTGATCCACAACTACCAACTAAATCATTACCCAATCGAGGAGTTGCCCGATGGGTTTTACCAAGTTAACGGGACAAATGCCAAATA